CAACTCGACCTCTTCCTCCACTGACCGTTGCCGCTGCTCGCCTTCACTTCCGCAGCTGATGTCGTCGGGCTCCATCTTGCCCTCTGCCGCTGCTCGACTTTCTCGCACCCCGCTTCGTGGCTGATAACATTGGGTTCGGGCTCCAGCTTGACTTCCCGTTTCTCGCCGACGCCCGCCTGAGCCTGCTAAACATGCTCGTCTTCCTCGCACTCGTCGTTCCCAGCTTCGGCCTTGATGCCATTGGGATCCAATTTTGCATGCAGCATCTCGCCGACGGGGGCTCTCCCTGTACCTCTAACTCCTTTCTGATGGGCGCCTGAGCCTGCTGCCCCTGTCCTCCCTTCCCGCGCGCATCCTTCCAGGCGTCGTGGTTGCTGGGCTCCGACTACACGCGCTTCTCACACTCATGCCCAGCTGCGCGGCGGATGACATTGGGCTCTGACTTGTCGTCCTGGCTCTCCTCGCTGGGCGATTACCTCGAAGGGGCCGTCCAGCGTCTCGCTCAGGGCCGCCCGAACATGCGGCGGCTGCTCGCCTTCCCCGCGCAAATCCTTCCCCGCTTCGTCGCCGATGGCATTCGGCTCCACAGAGGGAAGAGGAGGATAAGGTGGATGGGGGGGGAGAAAGATCATGATGAGGAAACCCTCCTTCCTCCATCCCTTCCTCCATCCCTTCCTCCTCTTTCTCCCTTCTCCATTCCTACGGGACCCGCTGGGGACCTTTGAACAAGGAGCCTCCGAGAACCTCCAGGAGCCTCTGAAAGACTTCGAAAACCTCCGAGGATCGTCGGCACACATCTTCGAACATCTTCGAACATCGACGACGACGACGAGGACGACGACGACAGGCGGCAACGTCGGCTACACGCAATAGCGATCCTAGGCATGAGTGACCTTCCGTGCGCGGCCTGACAATCGCTGCATGCGGTGCGGCAGCGACGGTCTGCGTGCTTCGGATGCCACCCCCCCCGCGCCCCCCGAAAGCCGCGCCACAAGGTTCACTACGGCGAAAGTCCTCTCTTGCGCCCAACCCGTTGATCGAGCACATGTCTGATAATATCGATGACAACGACGATGCCTGTCCGGCTGCTAGGGGCATCCCAAGTAGGGTCCGAATAGATGGGGTCGGAGGATGGCGCCGCGTGGCCGTTACATCGACGATGCTTTCGCGATGCATCGGCGAAACGACGATGCGTCGGCGATGCATTGGTGCCGTCAACGTGGAGAACATCGAGCTCCACATCGAGCTCATCGCCGATGGATCGGCAATGCGGCGCGACCCTCCCACTCTATCTACTCGCACCCCATTTGTAGAAGAACAATACAATGGCATAAGCATGAACATTCTGAGGTCCGCGCGGATTTCTTGCATCGGCGCCTCCATCCCTGGCGCGCAGAACGTGTCAGGGGCGGCGACAAAGGGCGCCACCAGAGGGGTCCACGCCGAACCAAGAAATCCGCGCCGTCTCTCGAACAATTCTACTCTTATGCGGATGCTTTTTGAAGCAGCCACGTGCGAATCCTACTCCTGCAGGTCAGAGTTACTGGAACGTGGCTGGGGTTCAGAATCCCACCAGCCCTCTGGGCGTCGGTGGTTTAACGCGTTTCCTCTTCCACCCCTCCCTCTTCCCCTTCGGGGAAGGGTTTACCCCTCCCCCTACCCCCTCCCCACTGACCTGGACAGGAGGGGCGGGGAGCGGTCAGAGCGTCCAAAACGGCCTCGGCGAGGAAGCCAAAAACATTGATTTTACTATGGTTTTGGCCCCATGTTGGCCTTCTCAGGGGGCAACGCTAATTAAGGTTCCCCTCTTCTTTGATCGATTTCCTCCACGATGGCTGCAAGAGGCCCCCAGGATGCCCCAAGAGGCCGCAGGATGGCCCCAAGATGGCCCCAAGAGGCCCCCCAAGAGGCCCCCAGGAGGCCCCCAAGAGACCCCCAAGAGGCCCCAAGATGGCCCCAAGAGGCCCCAAGAGGCCCCCAGGAGGCCCCAAAGAGGATCCCGAACGGCCCACAGAGGCCCCCCCGAGGCACCCAAGACGCCGAAAAGCCCCTCAGGACGACCCTCTACTCGCCTGGGCGTCGTTTCTGGACGGGCTGGCGGGGATACGCGAAGCGTCTAGAATTTGATGGATGTCTGCTGCAAGTGGACCCCAACGGGGGTGTCCGATGCTCCACCGCCGATCGGACTCGTAGGGGCACGATAATTTCGGATGTGTTTGCAAATTCTCTCTCGAGGTCCTCCGGCCCCATCGGCTCCGACCAAGAGCGGCGAGGTCGGACCGACGACGACGATCGCCATCAGCGGCAGAGTCGACGGCAACGACGACGACGACGACGGAGGTGGCGGCGGCGACGACGACGACGACGACGACGACGACTACGGTGACGACGACGACGCCGACGACGCCGACGACGACGACGACTACGGTGACGACGACGATTACACCGATGACGACGGCGACGACTGCGGCGACGACGTCTGGCCAGCAACGGCGAGATCCTGCCGACGCCCGCGCCCTGCGCCCGGGCGGGCGGATGTTCGGCGCCGCGGCCTCGCGCGCCCCGCGTTGGCCCTCCCATAATCGGAGAGTGCAGCCACCGTATTGCCAGGAAGCACGCGACATAAGTAACGAAGGGTTTTTTTCTGCCTCGCGCGGGCCTCGGCAACGAATCTGTTTCTCGAACTAGGTCGACAGAACGATCCGACAACAAGAACCACTCCTGAACCCAAAGTGATCCTTGTTCCAAGGCCGCGCATGTATGCCGACCTCGATGAAGTCGGACCTCTGGCTGGACAAAAAGCTCGGGGCCAAACGCGTCTGCGACCTTAGCGAGTGTAGGGACAGGGAATGGGGAGAGGAGGACGAGGCGGAGACTAGAGTAACAAGTTAGGAATGGAAACGAAGAGAGTTGCGTGCACTGTTTTACCAGCGCGTATTCGGAATGAAAGGTATGCGGTGTGCTACGCAAGCTACATGCGGGCGCTAAGCCTGGCCAGGCTCAGGGCTCCAAAGGCAGCGGAAGAGAGGCGGGTGAAAAGGCAGGGATGGCCTGACAAGGGTCCGTTCGAGTCTGGTGCTCAAACACGTCCGCTGTTCCCTCGGTAGAAGCTGTTACACTTCCACCAAAAGACCAACCCCGCCCTGCTAGCCTGCCTCGGGTCTGGCCTACAGCTCCAGGAAGCCCACGTCGAAGGTCTGCGGGCCGAGGACCTGCGCCGGGTGGAGCACCGAGCAGTCGTAGGCGCTCAACTCCCGGCGCGCCTGCCAAAAGGATCCGCCCGGAACAACATCCATGGAATGTTGTCTCCCATCGCTGTCTGTGGAGAGCCGGCAAACGGCGCGGCCCCCCTCGCTGATATGGAGGCCAGGAGCATGTTGACCTATTCCTGGGCTTGTCTGCTGAGGATGGCTGCGCGGTGTCGTAGTCGCAGTCTGCTCACCACTCAGGTTGCGCAGCTCCCTCAGTCTCTGTGCCTGCTCTGGGCTTGTTGTTGAGCCTCGGGCGCTGCCTGCTCGGCGCGCTTCTCTTCCTCTTCTCGTCGCTGAAGCGCGCCGTCGGATTAGTGCAACTAGCATTGCCAGTCATGGCTCCCAATATGAAGTCCCGACCGATGCTTCCCTTAGTCATCGGGTCGGCCCTCGTGTCTCTGGTGTCGCACCACAGCATGTCTTTGAACTGCTTGGTGCGAAGCTGGTCGCTCAGCCACCAGAGATGGCCGGCCATCGAGCGCTCGGATGGCGGCCGGACGGGGTCGGACAGCAGGGCCGTGAAGACCGAGATGCCGTCTACGACCAGCTCGGCCGGGATGACGTAGCCTCCTTCCTCCCGCAGCCGTCAGATCTCCTCCGCGGTGGCCGGGCCGTGCGCCATCTCGTGCAGGGTGAGGAGGCGCTGCTGCTCCCCGTCAGCTGCGCCGCAGGCCGCGGGCAGCTCTGCGCCGAAGGAGGACCTGCACACGAGCTTGTGTGATCTGCTGATGGCACCCAGCAGGTGGCGGACCTCCTTGCCCGTCTTGGGGCACGTGCCCATGCGCATGCACACGGCGCTGCGCATGCCGCACCCCGTCTCCTCTTCCCTCTTGAAGGAGCCGTCGCTGTGCACGACCAGTCGCTTGCTGCGCTTCATCGCTGGGGAGGCGATGCGTGCCTTCAGCTTCTGCATGGCCAGAACGACTGAGTTGAGTTGCATCGCGCGTCTGATTGTTGAGCAGATTGTTCTTGGCTCTCTGCAAGGCGACTACGCGCGCAGCCACATGGTGTTGTGCAAATAGCGCGTCGGCTACTGCTCCCAAGAGAGATGCGAATAGGCCCGGGAGCGGACCGGTGGCCAGCATATCCGCCTTGGCCTTGACCAGGTCGACGTGCCTGATAGGGATCAGCGCGTCGATGTACTCGCCCTGGTCTAGGGTGACCGCGCCGTCCTTGGTGCGGCTCTGGTGGACGTCGCAGTTGGTGAAGTCCTCCCAGTCACCCTCATCTTGCCAAAGACGCTCTCGATGTGAGAGATCAGCTGGTCCGCGTGCTTCTTCTGCCCAGCTATCTTCAGGTCGTCCACGTGCTTGGATAGCAGGGGCACTAGCTCTGGGACGCCGTGGGCATGGCTCGTGGTGCCTCGTGCTTGACGTCGAGCTCCGGGTCCCAGCGCGTCGGCTAGGTGTTGCACTCTGGAGAGCGCGTGACCTGGGCGAGCTTCATGAATAACGCCCACGGAGCATTCTTGCAGCCTGTGCCCGGCTTGATGCAATGGAGGCACTCCGTCATCTCGTCGAAGTCCTCGCAGCCGGGCGCCTTCCGCAGTATCGCGGCGCTGCCGGGAGGTAGCGTGAAGTTGACCTCCCTAAGTGCCTCACCCTGCTTCTGCATCTCCTCGTAAGTCATCCCTTGCAGGAAGGCCTTCTCCACGTCCACGGCGACATAGACCCAGTCTGGCCTGCAAGCCGCCACCGAAGGTGAGCGCTGAGACGAACGCTTCGCTGAGACGAACGCTTCGCTGTCCCAGCGAACGTCTCCAGCGCCCCCGCGTCCATGTCTCTGAAGCCCTGAAGCCCCGTAGTGCCATCCGGCATCTGATAATGAGGACTATCTTGCCCTCCGCATTCTTGCGGTGCTTCCTCTTCAAGACGTGGCAAGAGTCCATGACGTTCCGAGCTCCTCGAAGGGGTCGTCGCTCGAAACACGCGTACTTGACCCAGATGGTGAGCTCCTCCAAGATGGCTTCGGCGACCTCTTGGGGCAGCCTAGACACCTCCTCCTTAGTGAGCAAGTCGGTGTCGCGCTTGATTACCGCGGTCTTGATGGCGGCGTGGGCCGTAAGCGCAGCTGTCCAGGATGATGAGCCAACATGGTCGCTCATCTCGGTCTGTGTGCTCAAGAATGCCGCACGCACTCCGGGGTCAAGGTACAGCTCTACGCGTGGACCTTGATCATCTTCCTCCTCCAGCATGGCATACTCGGCCTCCGAGGCCCCACGAAGCTAGTAGTGGCACCTCTCGTAGATCACCTGGCGCTGACGCTGCGTCTCCAGGTGATGGCCACACGGAGGGCCGACGGCCCATGCCGGCCGCAGCGTGCTCGATGGCTGCGTAGATCTGCTGCTGGTGTTCCTCGCAGCCGTCCTTCATGATATCGCTGGTGAGGTCGTCGGCATTCTCGACCTCTTGCCGCGCGGCTAGCATCGCCTTCTGGATGTAGCCGGAGAAGTCGATCTCGTCGCCCTCGGGTAGGACTGAGAGCGCTGACGGTGGTCCCCCTTCCGTAGTCGACGCAGCATCTTCGTGCGATCCGACAACATGGTGTCCGATCTCACCATCAGGCTCTGGGCCGTCGTCTGCCGCCATAAGTGGCTCGTCGCCCACAATGAACTGCAGGATGCGGGCGTTCTTCCAGGCGTCACCGACCAAGGAGTACGAGCCGAAGTGCGCGCTGTTGAGGTGCATCTGCTGCGTGTCGCAAGGGTCCTTGGGGGGCCGCCAAATGACCAGACTGCGGGAGCAGCCCGGCCAGGCGCCAACCTGTTTCTGGCCTCGGATCAGACGTATAGCACGAACGTCTGACAGCTGAAAGCACCTGTGGGCCAGGTGGCGTAGGGCTTGGAAGACCTCGGGCTTCTGCCGAGCCTGCTCGGTGAGGCTGACGTTGCCGCTTTCCTCACAGTGGCCGAACGTGCGAGCTCCTGTTCCTTCCTGGATGTGCTCGATGAAGTCCTCGACCAGGTCCCGTGCCAGGCTGGCGCATGTCATCCCGGCGCCGAGGTCGTCGTAGACCGCGCCGCGGAAATGACGGGCGCCCTGCAATCTGCAATTCATCTCGGCGCGGCGGTACTTGACAGTGACCTTCCCGCGCGCCGGATCCGCTGCAGTGATCGTCCCTGGGCCTGCCCAGCCTGGAAAAATCCTTGGTGTCGGGCGGCCGATGGATCTCCACGACGTCACCGATGTTGAACTGGCCCTCGCCGGACGGCTGGGCGCGCGTCCGGAGGGCGCGGACGTGCAGAGCATGGCGCAAGATCGCGCCGCGTCGCTCTATGAAGCGCGCGTGCTGCCTGGGTGCCCGTGCGCGCAGGGAGATACCTCGACGCTTGAGCGCCTCGTCAAAATACTACGAGGTCGCCATCCCGCCCTCGCCGTCCACGATGAGCGGTTCCATAGCCCTGAACAGCTGCAGCCACGACTTGTCGATCGCGGCCAGCATCGTGGAGTCGGGCCTGTCGCTGATCTCTTGGCCGTCATGCCACCTGGAGGCGCAGCAGATCAGGTGGGACACCATGCGGTCCTTGTAGAACATGATGTCGCACTCAACGTGCTGGTTGAACCTGGTGGACCGGCGGAGGGTCGGTGCTGTCTGGTGCGCTGTCGGTAGCCATCCGCGACACTCACGACAGTTGTTCACGACCGTCGGGATGAGGTCGAGGATCTCCTGGCTGACGTTGGCGGCCCTCAAGGCGCGCAACATCTCCTCCTTGGTGGCGTGCCACCACCGGAGGTGCAGCTTCCGCAGCTCCCTCATCCTTGTGTCGTAAGAGTTGCTGCGAAGTGCTCGTAGCGACGTGGTCACGTCGAAGCGCGTCCAGCCTGCTGGTGCTGGCTCCCCCACTGACGCGTCGGCGGCCTTTTGGGCTAGGCGCCGAGAAACCTGCGCTGGCGAGGCTCGCAACCGAGCTCCGTCTGGAAGAAGCCCAACAGCATGGCTGTGGCCTCCTTCATTTTCTGGAGCAGCAGCGGCGGGGCCGTCTGAAGACCCAGCGGCGGCGGCAGCAGGAGGTCCAGCTCCTTCTGGAGCAGCAGCGGCGGGCCGTCTGAAGACCCAGCGGCGGCGGCAGCAGGTCCAGCTCGTTCTGGAAGAGCTGCCTCGTCGGCAGCACCAAGGTGTGCGCCGCCGGGTAGCTGCGCCTGCGCGTCGCTGGAAGGATGAGGCCCTCCAAGTACTGCTGTTGCTCGTGGATGTCGTCCCGTACGAGGGCGGGGTCGGACGTGGGGATCGGCGAAGCGGCACTGGCTGAAGATACCGTTGTGGAGCGGACGGTCGCGCTCCGTCTCCGCCTTGCAGCCAGG